GTGCTTAGTTAATCACACACATGCTCAGCCTCCCAAGAGAAAAGGCAGGCGAGGGGGTGGCAAGCCTTGCCAGAAGGAAATGTGCTGAGACTTGTTAGATTTTATGCCTGGAAAGCCAGAGTCAGTGGCTGCCTGGCTCAAAATTGTACATTTTGATACATGGAGACTGACAAGCAATTAAGAGTTTACCAAGCTCAAGACTTATAAAAGGAGAGATGTAGTTCCCAGTTACAGTTATAATTTAATAGACAATATTAAAATGCTAAACTCCAAGAGTTTGTTAATTGTATTATGTCAAATAGATACATATTTGAATTGATTTTTCCTCCTTAGCCTTTTTTTTTTAAAGAGAGGAAATATCCATTATTTGAATGGCGTTTAAATTTTAAATCACGAGGGTATTTTTAACGGCACTGATACTTTAATGACATAAAAGGGCTTATTCTCTTCCAGTGAGTAAGAAATTTACTGCCAACCAGTAACAGATTATATAATCCAGTAATAGAAATTCACTTTGACAAAAGGACATCTTAAAGAGGGAAGGAGGGCTTCCCTGGTGGCGCAGTGGTTGAGAGTCCGCCTGCCAATGCAGGAGACACGGGTTCATGCCCCGGTCCGGGAAGATCCCACATGCAGCGGAGCGGCTGGGCCCGTGAGCCAAGGCCGCTGAGCCTGCGCGTCTGGAGCCTGTGCTCCGCAACGGGAGAGGCCACAACAGTGAGAGGCCCGCGTACCGCAAAAAAAAAAAAAGAGGGAAGGAGAAAGTGGGTTAGACAACTTGGTGCTGACATATCTGAATCTGCAGCTTAGAACGTGGATGGGCACTGAAAACTTGGCCCTCCTGCATGCCCATTGTACTAAATATTTTACACATCTGCATGCCTGTGCACGTTTCTCCAGGCCTTACCTTTATCCTGGAAAGTACGCATGTTAATAAGAGAGTCTTTGCCTAGAAATGTATATGATGATATAGAAATATAGTGCTATTTATAAGAGACATAGCATATTAAACTCAGGCATTTCTTCTTTTGATAAGTAGGACTGAAAATACATTTAACTTTATCCTTTGGGAGAGAAGTAGAGACTCCTACAGGTTATTGACCAGTTTCCTTTAACTTTCACTTGGTTGAGTGCCACAAAAATATTACTGATGATCCCAGTGGTCTGTGAGCCCCTCCAGGGCAGAGGCAATATCTTTGCCATCTTTTGTTTCCCTAGCACAATGCTTTGTATTGCAGACATTCAATAAATATGCCCTTTATTGAAATAAAATTTAATTGATGAATATATAATCTACTTGAAAAGTCTGTTGTGAAAAAAAGTTCAATGATTGTCCAAGTTTCGAAGTATAAAATCTGATGAGTTTAAAGCTCATTGAAATTGACCAGAAAGCACTATTTCTGTACTTTTAACCTCTAGAATGTTTGATTATAAAAATAAAAGGTATAACTTGATAATACAATTATAAATCCAAACATAGAGCCATGAAAAGTATAATTTATATTTTTACTTTATAGACAGTAGTGATTTTGAAACTAACTCCATCAGGTAACCTTGTGGAAAATAAGTCTTCTCTCCCTACTAGGACAAACTCAACTTTTATCTGTTCTGTTTACAGTGGTCTACTGGTCCCTCTGAATTGAAAAGGCTTTCTGCCACTTGAGGTCCCACTCACCTCTTACAAGTCCCCTAGGAGTGGAGTCCTTAAGGATTCCCTTACTCCGTAATTCATTCCACATATATATGCGGAGAGCTTCCTGTATTCTGCGCTGTCCTTGCAGGAAACAAAGGATAAGATGTGGTCCCTTAAGCACTCCAACTCTTTGCTTGTGTAAATGAGTAACTGAAACAAAGTGTCATGGGGCCTGGTCCCACCTGGCAGAATCTAAAGGGGGCTAAGAAAAGGAAGGGCTAATTCTCCATGTGCAGTCCAGAAAGTCTTCCAGAGGATATAACACTTAAGCACATGCATTAAAAATGATTTGATGGAGTGGGCAAGGGAGATTTCCAAATAGAGAGAAATTGAGCAGAATCTCGGAAACTTGGACAATTTTGCAATAGGTCATCACAAGGAGAGGGAAGGATGGATGCGGGCGGGGGGGATAGTTTTCCACTCTCACGTACAAAGATTTATAGCAACTTTGATTACATTTTGAAAATGAACTATGTAACCAGCAGACTACAGGGGGGATAGTTTAGTGCCTACTGTATGAGAACATCAAGCCTAGCCTGTTAGGGATTCTGAAAGTTGTCAAATATAATTATATCTAAGGTAGGCTAAGTAATGCTGGACAACAAATCTCTGCAATATTTTAGAAGCTTACCCCAACACAAGTTTATTTCTTGCTTTATGCAGATTCTGTTGTAGGTTCTGGGCTCTCCAGGACAGCTGTGCTAAGGACTGTACTATTGTACAGCATGCCAGGATCCTTCAGTCCTGTGCCACCTCCATCTTAATATAAACTTCCATGATTGCAGCAGCAAGGGAACAGAGCATAGAAAATCCAGCACTGGCCCTTAAGTGATTCTACAAGGAAATGAAACATTTCATGTCTGCTCACATTTACTTACTAAAGCAAGTTACATCATGATACCTAATTTCAGTGGGGTGGAGAGTATAATCCTCCCCTACACCTAAAACCAGAAAGAGGACAGAAAAAATGGGTAAGCACTCCAAATGCCTTCAGCAGTTATGAAATGTTATGCTAGGGTTTTATGGTCAGATTAGACTAATGGAGTTAATAAAATTACTAGCATGCCATAAATTAAGGCTGAAACTAAAGTTTAATCTTCATCTGGTGATCGAAAGCTACAGACTTTAAGTAGTTTCACTATTACTCAATGTTTACTATTGTCTGTGTGAGCAACTGTAAAAGCTAGTCATTCAGAGGCATAACTGATTCATGAAATTGTTTAAACTGTGTTTAGACTAAAATCCAGATGGACTTAAATGAACTGATTTGATTAATATTAAATATTAAAAAGCAACTTTTTCATATATGGTTCTGATATTGTAATCCAAATAAGCTACTTTTTTTTCCTTTTCATATGTAGAGATACACTGAAAGGCATATATTATGCACAGGAGGGAATAAATACTGATGTCTGTCCATAAGAGACAAACAGCATATTACTAAGTATTTAGTATGTTACTTCGTTTCAGCAATCTTTTTGGTTGCTACAATGGATATATACCTTAAAGAGCATTTAGTCAAGCATTGGTCCTAAGTATCAATTTAATTTTTACCACCTACCAAATATTCTGTCAACTGGTTGAAGGGGCTAACACAGATGTGTTACATGATGATAATACCACAGTAGAGCCTCTTTTAGGACGCTCTTTCACTTAACCTCTCTACTACAGTTTATTGAAATATTTTAATTTTTAAACCGTAAAGTTAATTTCTTAATTAATTTCACGTTATTTTTTCTGAACGCAAGCTTTTAGACCCATCAAAAATGGCTTGCACCTTACAACAATTGGCACGTATAATAACATAATGGTATGCAAATATACCTGTTTGTCAGGTGTAAAGAATCACGTAAAGAGCATGCACGTGGGAACTAAAACGTATAAACGACTACACGGTTGTGTCTAAGGGATTCCTTCCTTCCCGTAAAACTTTCAAGAGGTGTATAAAACCTATCATTCGATTCCTAGTTTACAGATTGTCATCAGACATAATATTGTCCGGTCACAGCTGTTACAGGCTTAAAACAAAGAAAGAAAGAAAGACATATACGTCTGAAGACAGGGCAACCTTAAACCAGCCACCAATTAGAAAGATCACAGTGTCACAGGTGTGCTTTTAACAGAATAGCAACCTTAGAGGTCAGGTTGGGGGAGGGGAAGCACCCTGGACGGGGAAGGTCAGACTGCAGGGAGGGCAAGCTGCAGGCCCTGTTCCGCCAGTTTCTCCCGGCACTTCCGCGGCGCCCGCGTCCTCCCCTCCGCTCCTCGCAGGGCAGGTACCCTCCCTTCCTCCCCACCTGTACGGCTGGGGAGCGCCGGGCTTCCCGAAGCGACGCCCTAGCGGTGGGAATGGGAACACGCTGCGCGGAAGCCTCCTTTCCGTTCGGCTTCCCCAGCTAGACCCCGAAGCCCCGAAGCCCCGGGGGAAGGAAATTACCACTCGGTGCTCGCCCACCCCCGCCCCGTTTCTCTCTCCGGCTCGCTGCCTGTCTCGCTCCGATGCTGCCGAGCCCCGTCGCCACTTCTGGGTGGAGGTCCGGCGGAGACAGCTGCGAGCTCCCGGGCTCCGGGGAGGGAAATGGGGCAGGGTGAGTCAGCCGGCCCGGGGAGAGGCTCCATCGCGCCCGGCACCCGCCCGCGGGGTAGGGGAGGCGCTGGGCTGAGCTCGCGGAGAGCCTGCCGCTTTCCCCTTCCTCCCAGTCCCGGCTTGAGAGCCGAATGCGAGCGCGCGGGCCGGGGGAGGGAAGAGTGGGAGAGGAAGCCGTGGGAGAGAACAGGCAGCCACTGTTTCCCTTTGAAAAGAAAGTAGGAGCCCTGGGTGGGAAAAGAGAAAGGAACCCTCCCAACTTTTCTTTGCGAAAAGTTTTCCCAGGGCGTTTTGTTTGAGAAGCCCGGGATCGCGCTGCCGCCTTGGCGGCTGTGCCTGTGCGCCTCGCCCCTCGCCCCGCTCCTCCTCCTTCCAGCCTGGGTAGCTCCGCTCCCTCCCCAAGAGGCGCCAAATGGCTACCCAGTAACCCCACAGGGCGGGGGCTGCAGCGCCGCCTCCAGCCGCCGCTGCTCCCGGCAGCCGGTAGACCCTCCGGCGGCGCTGCCCGCGGGCTGGGAGTCGGGCCCGCAGGTGGAAGCGCACCCGGGAGGCGGGCGGGCTGGGCCAGGGCTGGGGGCGGCTCGGGCGGGCTCTGGACGCGCGGCCAGCCCCGTTCAGGCCTCTGGAAAGCGTGCGTCCCGCCCTGACCCGCCGGCCTCTCCCACTCCAGCAGTGACGCGCCGCCTAGGAGCCGGAGCCCGCGCAGCGCCCCGCAGGGCGATGGACGGCCAAGCCCAGCGCGCGCAGGACGTCCCGGCGGCGCTCCCGCCGGCGACCCCCGCAGGGTAAGCCTCGAGCGCCGCTCCACCGCCGCTCACTGGGGAGGGCGAGGGCGAGGGCAGCCGGGCCTCCACCCGGTCACCTGGCTGGCAGGTTGCCACCCCGCCGGCGGCCAGATTCACCCGCCGCAGAACATGCGGACGACGAGGCTGCTTCCTCCCGGCCTCCTAGGAGGCCGCCCGGGATGGGGGCTCGGGTAGTTTTTGATTGCTTTCCTACCGGGGCTGCTCTGAGTTGCTGAAGGGCAGCTGAATGCCAGGAATTGGGTAAGGAGTCCGGGAGCAAAAATGGTAACAAAGGGCCCCTTGTTGGGGCTCTGGGCGAGCGGCGGACGATACCTGTTAGTGAGCTCCTAGGAAGGGGAAAACAGTTTCCTTGGCCGGTGGATGAGGCCCAGCAGGTGAACAGTGTCAAGGTGAATGTAAGGAAGGGGCTTTCTGCGAGAGGGTGGAGGGCGACAGGAAGGTGTGCCAGCTGTCAGCCCGCATGACAGTTCCGGGACACGGCCGGGTGCGCGCCTCTGATTGTGGCCAATTGCTAGTGCCAAAGCCTAGCGCAGAGTCAGACCGCCAACACGATTACTTTTCGTATCCTCACATGTTTAGGAGAGATTGGAGTGGAAGGGGCTGTCACATGGTGAGTTAATATTAAATGGAGCACGTCTTCCTGCCAGATATGCTAATAATCACCTTGCTAAGCGTTTGGGTAAATAGTAATGAGAACAGGTAGTTCTGCAAGAGATGGGAAGAACCTGAAAATAACCTTCGTCTTGGTAAACAGTGAAGGCTTAACATGGGCGCTAGTTGAGCTCCTGAAGTGGGAAAACCCTTTGGTGAAGTGTAACTTTTTCCTACAAGTGTTCCCCCAACTCAGTTTCTTTTCTGATAGTTAATCCAAGCACAGAAATGCACTCAAGAGAATATGAACATTTCAGAAAAGAAACGTTAAAGGAAAAAGCAACTTTGTAGCTAATGAATGAGATTTGTACAGTTTTCCTGATTTGAGACTAGAGAAGTCATTCTTCCCTGGAACATGACACACGTTTCCTTAGAAGCAAGTCACAGCATGTTTATTCATCAGAGACCATGCAAACATTGGCAGATGTCTAGAGGAAACATGGAAAAGTCTCAAAGCAACATGACTAATATAAAAGATATTTAGTATAATGCTTACGTAGAGGAAACATGTAGTGTATGAATTAATTCTTTCATTTTGTTCCAGTTAGTTATCTTCTCCCCTCTGCAAATAGCCATATTTCTGTTGACTTCCATTTCTATTCTTTCCCCAGTTTTTTCATTATTTAGATATTATCATATATTCTTTCATATATTACCACATTAGGATGTATGAGGAAAGAAATACGTTGGCAGGAAGATATTAATTATAAAAGCATGGACCTCTAAATATTGCTGCAGGAATACTGAAATGTATTCAGGTACCCCAAAATGAGATAGTATTAGACTGGTGGATTTAAAAATGGATTAGATTAGGTACTATTTAAAAAAAAAAGAAAAGAAAAAGAACCCATCGTATGCACATACACAAAATACCCGAATACGCTTGGGTGTTTAGAAATCATATAATACTTGTGAGTAAAATAGGTGAGAACAGATGGCTGTGACATGAAGGAAACGGAAAGAGCTTTCTAGTGGTAAGCACAGCTATAGTAAGGCACTTTGGATTTTACTTTTGAGGATTTAAAGGTTAAACCGAAATTCTTTGCTTGAAAAGAATGTACAAAACTGCTTTATCTAATTTCTCAAATATGAGGAAAATACTTTTTAGAAATTTGCCCTTCCCTCTCCAAATTTAAGGAGAGACATGTGGAAAAATGCTTCAACATCTTATCTGAAATAACCCCCCCTCCCCCCGTATCATTTTACTTTGCATTATTCAGAGACGTTAACAATATCTGAAAGGTATAAACATAAAAAAAATTACTTCTCTACTTTGTCTTCTTTCACTTGTCTGTCTTGTCCCTTTGGCATATCCCAAGTGCCTATTATATAATATTTGTTGAATATTCATTATTCAACATTACTGTTATTCTTTTTCTCAAAACCCCAGAACATTAAAAAGGTTTTAATTGTGGGAAACAAGAATTATCCTAGATATAAGGTTTTGGGAGGTGGCAGGGAGCAGTCCCAATCAATATGTTATAATAAAATGTTAGGTTTGGAAAGTAAATGCTTTACTATAAAACTAATTAAATCATCACTCATTAATAGCCTATGAGGCCTACTTTAGACCTTATCCTTGGATATTACTGCTCTAAAGAAGCCATCTGTATGTAATTTTCCAAGTTTTACATCCTTGTAACATGTCATTTTAAAGAAATTTAGTGCAACTCCTTATTTTACAAATGAGAATCTGAAGCACAGACACAGTGAATTTTACAGAAGGCCCAGAGCAAATTAGTGGCAAAACCTGAAGGAAAACCCAGGATGTTAGTTGCCTAGTTCATTGCACTAATTGCTTTTAATCTTTTCCAGACCACAATATGATAAATTTCAGCTGAGTACATTATCTTTAGAACTACTAGTTGCTGGTGTTTTTACTTGCCAAAACACACGCACACATATACTTTTTTAATGGTAGAATTTTTTTGGGGGGCCGCGTTGGGTCTTCGTTGCTTCGTGCAGGCTTTCTTTAGTTGCGGCGAAATGGGGCTCCTCTTCATTGAGGGGCTTCTCATTGCGGTGGCTTCTCGTTGCAGAGCATGGGATCTAGGGCGAGCAGGCTTCAGTAGTTGTGGCGCGTGGGCTTAGTTGCTCCGGGGCATGTGGGGTCTTCCTGACCAGGGATCAAACCGTGTCCCCTGCATTGGCAGGTGGATTCTTAACCATTGAGCCATCAGGGAAGTCCAGAGATGTATATTTTTAACTCTTTGAAATTTAAATGTCAAAAGTGTAGTTGACCTTGCTTTGAGGGACCTTAGTGTTTTGATTCTGAAACAAATTATCAGGCATGGTTCAGGTATAAAAGCCTATTTCTTTATAATTTTGCAGAATTGTAACTATGGAGTTAATTGAAGGCATAGTAAAAATTAAGAAATGATTTAGCAGCTGCTTTCTTAAGCTTTTATTTGGATACATTATTGGTTCTAAAGTTGTACGGATTGTATAAACTGAGTTCTTGTTAGCTAACATTTACTGGCTACTTAGAAGTTGAATGCCTTAGCTGAGGTTTTAACATAATCACCTGAGTATCTTTTAAAACAAATGCCCATGCTCTTACACTCCTACCTATTCTAATTTTAATTGGCCTGTTAGGGGTCAAGGGCATCGAGAATTTTAAAATGCTGCTAGGTGATTCTCATATGCAGCCAGATCTGAGAACCATTGATTAAGTCGGTATCACCAGCTGAGAAGGAGATGAAGCCATAAATGGAATGGAGGCTGCTATTTAACATTTTTAGGAAACTCAAGAGTAACTTTCAGCTTTATTTTGCCTTTTGAAAGATTCCATTTAGGTGCTCTACGGTACTGTTTAAAAAAATTTTTTTTTTTTTTTACTCCTTTTTGAGGAAGTATGTTAACTCCATTTTATGATTTTGGAATTGATGCTCAGAGAGCTTAATTTACACACTCAAGGCCATACAACACTAAGGGATGCAAGAATAATAGAAACAAGGTCCGATACCCAAACCTGTGCTCTTCATCATTAGGCCTGTTACCCAGGATGTTTGCTACCATGGATTATACTGAATGGATTATTTAAAGAGCCTTTATAGATGCATTGTCTTGATTCTTCTTAAAATTATATTTATAGTATATTTAAAAAAAACTCTTACAAAATCAAATGCATATTAAAAAAACCCCAATGCCTAGCATTTAAAAGGAACTTAATTATTTCTTTAAAGTCATAATTAACATTTTCATGTGTTTAGGTTGATTTAATTTAACATAGTAAACTGACAGCCATTTTGTCAGATGACATTATGACATAGCTGTACTTATTTTTGCTCTTAGGCAGCTATTAAATTTATTATAGCTTAATTTCAAAAGTAGGATTTTTGACCAAATAAGAAAAATGAAATTGTTTATTAAGACAGTGCTAGATATTTTGTTCAAAGTCTAATGTCCTCTGAATGTGTTAGAGGGTAATTTAATAACATTATCACCTAACCTTATTATTGAAGTGCCAATTGTATTTATATAATAATAAATGCCAAGCTTTATGTTATTGAGACAACTGCTCTATGTAATTAGTCAAAACTTGTGAGCCCTTATTTTATATGAAACACGTTTTTCTAGGCACTGGGAGATTGCCTAGGAATTCTGATCTTAAGAGCTTTATTTTAAAAAACTATCTGTAACTATGCAGGAAGAAAAAGGAGGGAAGGTGCTGTTAGTGTAGAAGATGTATTTTGATATTAACTTTAAAAGCATGGATATGCTTAGGACTTAAAATGCAGTATCCTAGCTCATTGGTCAGCAGACTTTGGCTGAGCAAACTATGTCCAGAAGGTTGAAATGGGCCCTCCACCTGTTTGTCTTTTTTTCTTTTCTCCACTTTTTAAAATTGTGGTATAATTTACATAAAATTTACCATGTTAACCATTTTTAAGTGTATAGTTCAGTGGTATTAAGTACATTAACATTGTTGTGCAACTGTCATCACCATCCATCTCCAGAACTCTTTTCATCTTGCATAACTGAAACTCTGTACCCGTTAAACACTAACTCCCCATTCTCCTCTCCCCCCAGCCCCTGGCATCCACTGTTCTACTTTTGATCTGTATGATTTTTGACCACTCTGGTTACCTCATATAAGTGGAATCAAACAGTCTTTGTCTTTTTGTGACTGGATTATTTCATTTATTTTAATATCTACAAAGTTCATCCATGTTGTATCATATATCAGAATTCACTTCCTCTTTGAGGCTGAGTAGCATTCCATATTTTGCTTATCCATTTATCTGTCAATGGACACAGGTTGCTTCCTGTATTTTAGCTGTTGTAAATAATGCTGCTAGGAACATGGGTGTTCACATATCTCTTTG